GAAACTTTTGAAAAACTGAAAGCAAATAGTATTAAAGTTTATGCGGTGAAAACCGATGCCTTTCATATTGCAAAGAAAGATGTAAGGAAGGCAAAGAAGTTGTTAGATTTTCATAATGATATTGGAGGCTGGAGAGTAGAAAATAATAAAGTCTATGAACTGGAAACTGATTACAATTGGAAATTTAATGAGTTAGTAAAAATACCAACTTTTCAGAATGAAACAATACCGATTGAAGATGAGTGGGATGTTGAAAGCATCTGTAATAAGATTATTGAAAAAAGAAGAGTTATGATTAGAGCAAAATTTGCTGGGAGCGGTAAAAGTTTTATAGGCAAGTATATGGAAAATTTAGGACACAATACACTTTTTGTAGTGCCTCAAAATATGTTGAAACAAGAGATTGAATGCGAAGCGGTGACAGTAAATACATTCTTTAGTATTCCAGTTGATAAAGGGGATGACCTACCAAAGTTTGATTATTCAGATTTTGATTGTATAGTGTTTGATGAGATTTATATGTCCAGTCCTTACATATTGAACAAAATAAGGGTGTTTGCAAATAACAATCCTGACATCGTAATTATAGGTGCAGGTGATGTCAAGCAACTGCCACCGATTGAACCTTTCACTAATACTCAAAACGCAGGCGAATACATTGACAAATGTATTGACATTATTTTTAAATATAATATATTTTTAAAGATATGTAAGCGAGTAGGTGGTAAGGATACAGAAGAAGGAGAAAGAAACAGAAAGAAACTGAATGAAATCTATGATGACTTTTGGATTAAAAAGATGGCAGTTGAAGAATGGATAGTTAAGCATTTCAAATTTACTAAAGATGTTATGAATAGTGAAAACAACATAGCATATACAAATATTAGATGTGAGGCAGTATCCAATGAGATTAGAAAAAGATTAGGTAAAACATGCAAATATGAAATTGGAGAAATCTTAATATGCAGACTTTACAAAAAGGACAAGGAAGGAAAACTGAATGTTAATATTAGGTGGAAGGTTGTTAATAACGAAGGATACAAGATAACAATACAAGATATTAAGGATGCAGAGAACATTAGAACACTTGACATTGATATTGTAGATAAGCATTTTAGATATGCCTACTGTGCTACCACTCATAGCAGACAGGGGACATCAATCAGTGATAATATGACCATTCACGAATGGAACAAAGATTATTTAGTTTGTAGGGAATGGTTGTGGACGAGTATCACACGAGCGAGGGATTTTAACAATGTCTATTTTTACAAGAACAAAGAGGGAGATGAAGATATGTTTAAGAGTTTGGTAATCAACTATTTTAAAAACAAAGTTGAAGGATATAAACAGCAAGATAGAGTAGCAAAAAGAGAAATAGACGAAGAGCAATACATTGACGAAAACTGGTGCTTAAAATACTTCAAATCCTGTTGCCAAAACTGCGGAATTAAATTTAATCTAGATACAAGAGGAGGAAAGATAAGTTCTAACTTCACTGCTCAACGTTGTGATAATGAGTTATGCCATACGGTTGAAAACTGCACCGCCTTCTGTGTCTATTGCAATTGTAGTGCGTCATGAATAATTTTGAAAATGAGTTTTTCAAAATTATTTTATTAACTTAATTAATGAGTTCAACACAAGAAATTATCAAGAGTGTATATTATGATAGAAGCGGTTATGGTTCAAAACAAACAACCCTCAAGGATGCTAAGCAAAAAGATAGTAGTATTACAATTAACGATATTAATGAATTCTTTAGTAAAAATGTAGAAGAAAAAAGAAAGATGAGAGGTGAAAATAGTTTTATTGCTCCGCATAGTTTCTGGGAATTTCAAGTTGATATGTTTTTCATTTCTAAAAATGATTTGGAAAATCAAACATTTAGAATTGGAATGATATGCATTGATATATTTAGCAAATATATGCATATCGTGCCAATTAAATCCAAGACACCGCCAGACATTTTAGCAGGAATGATGGAGAATATCAATAAGATGGGTGGCAAACCGAAATTAATTTATACCGACGAGGAAGGCAGTTTTTTTAATCAATCAGTATTAGATTATTTGAAGGAGGAGAAAATTGAATTACATAGAACTAGAGGTCATCCAGCATTTGCGGAGCGTGGAATTCAGACTTTTAAAGATCAACTGTTTAAACGAGTTGAAGCGGACAAGAAAAATGGAAAGCAGAATATCCAATGGACGGATTATATTTTTGAAATATTATTAACTTACAATAATAAGAATATTCATTCCGCAACTAAATTTACACCGAAGGACGCAAGAATGAAAAAGAATGAATTTGAAGTAAAAATGAATATTACAATGCAAGCAAGAAATACTAGAAAATACCCTGAGTTGTCAGTGGGTAGTAATGTAAAAATAATGAGGAAGAAAGGCATAAGCGAAAAGGCACATACCAGTCATTGGTTAAAAGAAGTATTTAAAGTAAAATCAATTGATAGTAAATTAGGGCAATCTTACTTTCATTTGGAAGGAAAAACTAGTCCTTATTTGAGACACGAATTATTGAAAGTTTAATATTAAACGAAATACAGTTAAAGAAAAAACGCCTTATATTATTAGTGAAATGTTATTTAATTATTCAAATTGCGAATGTTGTACAACTAAAAGGAATGATGTTAATATAACATTGTATAAGTTATTACCTGCTAATCTATGTAATAAAATAAGTGAATATAATGTATACTGCAATCAATGCTGTATAACAAGAGACTTTGAAAAGTTTTTTCTTGAAGAACATAAGGACAAGGGATATACAAAGTTTCAATTACAGTTAAAATTCTTTATGCGACACCAAGCAAGATTTCCTATACACTTTTACCAGAAGATTTCCAGAAAGTCATATGAAAATGAAATTGATGAATTCTTTAGTAATATAGATTTAATTAGGAGGTTTGGAGGAATAAACGCAATTAAACCATACAAAGCATTTGTCAAAAAATACCGTTATTTGTTTGAATGGATTGACTGGCATTTATTAGACAAAGATAAAATAAACGAAGTCTTGAACGAATTTAGAGCAACTAAATATAGTATATGGTATTACTACAACACTAAATATAAAGTATGTCTATTGTTGTATTTATTCTTTTGGGAATATATTTATTCAATAATAGGAAAAAACAATATCAAATATATATACATTGGTGATATAGATAAATATGTAGATTACATATTTGAAGACATATTGCCTGACCATTATTTTAATCCATAAACCTTACAATAAAAAACATTGTAAGATTTATGATTTCAAAATGACTTGAAGAAATAATAACTTAATATATTATAGTAAAATGAGTGATACAGTCGGTATCAATGCTAAAAATATATTGAAAGACAAATTTATGAGTTATAAATGTGATGACTGTGAAATGCTCAAATTACCAATTGAACGGGGTTTTGCAAATGGTGTTTGTAATAATATTTGTCAATATATAATATGCAATAATTGCAATAGAATTATAAAAAAAATTGATGATATGAATAACAAGGATATTGATATTATAAATAATGAAACTATTGATGATGATTTAGAAATATTTGTATTTATTGAAATGAATAATTTCTTAACTATAGAAGGATTTGATAATTTATTAGAATGTAACGACGAAGGATATAATAATGATTTTATTTTTAAGTATTATAGTATTGTAAAACAATTATACAATATGTCTTTTAATATTAAACGTTTAAAATACGTTGTATTGTTTGATTTTTTAAATGAGTTTTTAAATGATGAGTATAAAACTCACGAACTTAGATATACAATAAAACGTGCGATTGGAATAATGGGAATGTTTAGAAAACAAATAAAAAATAATTTTTATAATGAAACAACGTGTGACAAAATAATAGAAAGAATTAAATTAATAATTTAGTTTTAGGCGAAATAGTCCTAAAGAAAAAACACCTTATATTAATAGTGAAGAAATGAACGGTATTGAAATCAATAAGTATATTAATAAGAAATGCTACGACTGTTGCCACTTTAAAAAAGAAAATATGGAATTGTATAAATTAAATTTACCTAATGGAATAATAAATAATATTATTGATTATGCTTTGGGTGAAGAAGATTTATGTAGAACTTGTAAAACCTGGAGAGATAACCAAGCTATAATCAAATGTTTGTTGAGATTAAAAGGAAGACATAATAGAAATGTAGAAGATGACATTTTGATATTTTTAACTGTGTATAAATTACCACCTTACGTTTATGTTAAACAGTTTCTTAAAATCAGTAAGAAAAAATATGAAATGATTCATGATATATTAAGGATGTTGTGTCATAGTCAAAAGAAAGGAGATGATATTAAAGAATATATCAAATATTATATTGAAATTTATAAAAAGTTTAATGTTAAAAATACAGTGAGAGATATTAATATTATTTTTAAAATGATGTATGACATAAGTGAGATTTGTCAATTAAATTATTATCCTGAACTTAAATTATAAATTACACCATAAACCTTACAATAAAAAACATTGTAAGATTTATGTTTTGAAATTATGGGGATTTTGGGATTTGGGATTTTGGAAAAATATGGGATTTTGGAAAAATATATTTTGGGAATTTGGGATTTTGGGATTTGGGAATTTGGGATTTTGGAAAAATATATTTTGGGAATTTAGAAAAATATTTACAAAATTTATGTATCAAATCTTGAGTTGAGGTTCTGTTATGAAATGATGAAAACATATTATGTGAATTGGTCGGTTGAGGGGATTTTATATTTTAGGATTTTGGAAAAATATATTTTGGGAATTTGGGATTTTGGAAAAATATATTTTTGAAAATTTAGAAAAATATTTGTAAAATTTATGTATCAAATCTTGAGTTGAGGTTCTGTTATGAAATGATGAAAACATATTATGTGAATTGGTCGGTTGAGGGGATTTTATCTAACTGGGGCCTGGCCTTTGGTAGGTGTTTCCCCCCCAGCCCCTGTGGCCCACTGCCCCCGCCTCCAGGATCTGCTCGAAGCTGGTGAGGTGCCAGAGCCTCCCCAGCGGCGCGCGAAAGTGGAAGTCCTCCCCGGCCAGCTCCGACGCCTTCACCAGGTCGCTGTGCCGCAAGGTCCGCATCACCGCCTCTGCGCACCGCCGGCTCATCGCTCCGGCCACCGACGCGGGAGAATCGGAGCACCAAAAGGCGGGCCGCGGCTTCCCAACCGAGCGAAAAACCGGCGGCTGGGAGAAGTCCCGGTTTGGAGGGTTTGGGAGCCCACCCCTCAGAGCCAGGGGTTCAAATCCCCAAACCGCCCGACCAGATCCTCCAGCTCTTACGTAGAAGGAAGAAATACAAGTGGGGGGTTATACATCAGAGGTCAACACCACCCGTTTTTGTCTCAAAATGGGTGAGGGGACCCAACAAATGAGTAGGGAAAACAAAACAAATCGGCCTCTACTTGGCAAACCTTGAGCCCACTTGGATTTCGTCATCTGTTCTTCGCTCATTCAAAGAAAAAAGATGTAAGATGATCCCAAACGTTGGCCTAGCTTAAGGTACCCAAAGGAAGGGTGTCTGAAAATTTCGGAAACCCCATCTGGAACTGCCATTGCAGGGGACTATCCCTGTCATCCCCTAGTCAGAATTCAGCGGGGCGAAAAATGTCCACCAACCACTTTGGAGTTTCCGATTCTTGCATAGCCAGATGTGCCATGGTCAAATTTGGGGCTCGATCACATGGCAGGGAAGCTGGTTGTTTGAGGTGTATCTCCTTTTCAGGTTGGTTTACAGGAAATGTCAAATGTGGGTACCGTTCTTTGAGGTACTGTTCGTTGTTTGAGGGCCCTTCTGCTTTGCCAGGTACCGCATATGAAATACTTTGACCTGTTCGTTCAAAGTTCCATCCAGCCGGGTACCTATTGTTGTTGAGCGCACCCTTCTCTTGGGTGCCCCATTTGTTCAAACAAGTGTTGGTGAAACAACGGGGAAACCAAATGGAGTTTGTTTCAGCAGTTCCGCGGGTCAACCATGCGTTTGGACCAGAGCAATCAGAACCCCCAAACTTATGGGGCTTTTCCTTTAAACCAAAAGAGAAGGGGGCTGCACCTCCAACCAGCACCCGGCCATGTGTGATTCTCTGGCTTTAAAGGGAAACCAGCCGAACTCAACCGCTTGAGCGCCCACCTGCAGCTGGTCGTTCCAGTGGAAGACCGTGTGGTGCCGCAGCTCGTTGGCCAAGCTCTGCCGGTCCCTTGGGGCCGCGTTGTCCCGCGTGCGCGTCAGGGAGAAGGCCAGGCCCAGCGACAGCATCCCCGCAGGGCACTGCGCGCTCCAGTCGCGCAGATCCCCGGTGGCCCACTGATCCAGAAAGGCGCCCGCGGATCCGAGCTCGCCCAACCCGGAGCCCAAAGAAACCAGAAACTTCTTCAGCACTCTGCGGAGGCCGCCCCAGCCGACATCAGGAACCGATGCTGGAACCGTGTCCAACTGCAAAGGCAAAGAGAACAGGCAGGTGGGATCTGGATGGAAGCCCAATTGCCTCACCCAAATCTCGTCAGCGCCCAGTCTCTCCAAATACGCGTAGTTGTTCCTTCGGAGCCGGTCCGACAGTCGCTTGTACATGACCTCGGGCAAAATGTCATCCACCTCGACGCTGATGACATCCACCCGATGCTTCTGGAAGTTGAAGGATCTCAAAATCTCCAACTCCGAGCCTTCCTCAAGAGTGGCAACCACTGGATTGTGTACCACGGGCCATCCTTATGACTACTTTGTTAGACCATTTTCTCTTAGCATCACGGAAAGTGGGCTAAAATCTGACTTGCGACCATAGGACCTGAAAACGGGTGCTCGCCTTGGGAAACATTGCCCCAAAATGGTCAAGGCCTCAATCGGTCAAGAAGGCCGATTCCCTTTCCTTTGGGACGATGACAAGAATAGTTGAACAATGGGAGAACCTCGGCTTTGGGCAAAACTTGTCTCGCTAGATCCGTTGGTATCACGAGTGGCAACCCCAACACCTCAACACCCGGAATGTCGACTCCATGCTTCAGCATCCTGAGTGTTCATTCAATTCTTTGGGATGGCTTCTTGGCGACTGCATCACTTTTAAGGGGCTTGCCTTGGTTGGTTGTTTCAAGGGAAAAACCCAATGGAAATAGAAATGGACCTCCTCTGCATATGTGTACAAAAAATATACCTTTTAATTGAAAAAAAAACTGGCACCCCGCCCCATCCATGGTACCACGGTAAGCTCTTCCAAGTGTCCGTATCCAGGGAGAGGTAGTCGATGTGCGCGCCCATCTCGCCCAGGTGCTCGTCGATGAGGTCCCCGAGGCTGCGGCACCGGAGCCGCGTCACGGCCGCGGAGGCGGCGGTGAGCTGCTGGCGGCTGGTGGTGCCGCTGTTCAGCCCGTCCTCCACGAAGTCCTTGTCCCCTTCGGACTGTGGGTTGGTTGAAAAGTTGGGAAGGGTGGATGAGGTGTCAAAACCCAGGAAACCCTGGTGAACATCAAAGCTGGTACATGGGTGTTCCTCCGCGCCAAAATGGAGCCACAGGGTGTGACCCATGGCCAGATGTCGGGGGAGTTGGGGGTTGGAGAGTTGAGAGGGTGGGTTGGGGGTTGGGGGGTTGGGGGCTGGGGGGTTGGGAGTGGTGGTTGGGGTTGGGGTTGGGTTGGGTTGGGGAGGGGAAGACATTTCCGGTGCCCGCCTGTGGCCCCCGCCACGCAGGCCCTCACCGTCTTGGCCTTGGGCCGGTTCTTCTGCAGCTCTCGAAAGGCCGCAGGCATGGGCTCGATCAGCAGACCCGTCCACCCCAACTTCTCCTCGAAGGCCAGGCTGTTGCTCTTCTCCACGCCGTCCCCGGCGCCCAGATCCACGAACACGCCTGGAATGGAAAGCGGCCCAAACTGGCAAAAAAAGCAAAACCGGGGAACCCAAGCAAGCCGCAATCTTTAGGAGATTATTTTTGGCTCGGCTTCTTTCAGGGGTTCCACGTCCATCTGAGGGTCGCAATTGAATTTGTGGGAAACCCAAAGGGTGAAACCCACAAACAAACAAAAAAGGAATGATCTCCGGGGGGAGAAAAACTTCGAGGAAAAAACGAAACCCTCTGGTTGCAACGGCTCTTCAAAAAAAAACTCAAGGTTGGGTTGGCTTGTTGGCATAGAAGCCATTGGGTTGGCCGTTTGTGTGCCAAAAAAAGAAACATCCAGAAAATGGATGTTTTGTCCGCGAAGTCTGCGCCTTGCCGCAGCGTTTGGCCCGCAGCTGCCATGTACCACCTGGACCCCGGCTCCTCACTGTAGAACCACCGCATGATCTTGCCTGCGACTCAATCCCCGGTGTAATAGGGTGGCATGTGTCCAATGTTTCGGCGTTTGCTCTGGCAACAGCTTCGTGGGGGGAAAAGCCACCTTCTTCGATTCTTAAGCTCCAAAATACGTTGTGGTTGGCCCAGCTGTAACTTTGGGCTAACCCAAAAACCCATCGCCCAGCTGCGGTCTTGGCCATACTGCGAGTGCCAGCCCTCCAGCCAGTCAATCCCGAACTCTTGCTCCGGGCCCGGGCTTCCGAAAACGGCCTGCGCGGCCCCAGTGCCCAGACCTGCCAGAACACCAAGTCGCCTCATGGCACCAAAGCATCTTGGGTGAAGACTCACCCATCTGACTTGTGATGTCTGTTTTAACATATATATGTTATATATGTATAGAGAGAGAGAGAGAGTTGAGGAAGAGTGAACGGGGGTAAGGAAGTCTAATGTTTGAAAGTCGGTGGTTCATGCCCAGGTGGCAGCCCCTCCGCGAACAATGTGTTGCTCAAACGCGAAAGTGGAGGGGATCAATTGCAGGCTGGGAATAACCTGAGCTGAACACTTAGAGTCTGATCTTTTGCGACTGGGCCAAGATTTCTGGCACACATCCAGTCTCGCATGATAGCACCCGTGCATATAGTGCTGCTTGACGCATTTGCTGCGGCTTTCTGATCCACAATGTCTGCGACATCTCAAATGGACTGCACTCTCCTTCCGCTTTGCTTTTTTGCGCACTCCACGGACTCCCCGGCCTCCATACGCCTGGCCAGGACTTCAAGCGTCGATGCGTGTCCCTTTGACATTGACACATGAGTGTCCGACAATATGACCGCCATAAGACGACAACCCAAACACCAACCTGCAATGCAAAAAGAGGGAGACGGCCCACCCAAAACCGATACTCTGGAACAAAGCATGTCCCTTGCTCATTCGTGGGTTGCATGACATGTGCTTTACCTCGCAAAAACCGTCCAAACCTGGTAAGGTGGGCTACCGAGTCCACCCCCAGCCCTCCCGGAACGGCTTCATTCGGAATCGACGGGTTCGACGGCCTCCATCTCTGACCTCGGAGTGAGTCAGGCTGAGGCTCGGCGCTTGCCCGAATTGTCGGACACCAATCCCATGTGGCTATCCATACGCCTCTCGCTATGTCTGTGACTTAGTGGTTCCTTCCCTTGCTGAAGGTGCAGTTTCAGTGGGAGGTGTCATAAACTCCTCTACACTCCCTCCTCGTTTCTCAAAGTCGTAGGCACCCTGTGGCTGGCAACCGAGGGACGAGGATAACACCGTGCGGAAGCCGTGCCATCCTTCACTCAACGGGTAGGCTTCTGGCTGAAGCGAGGCCCTCTTGGGAGAAGCACCTTCTTTGCGGCGTCTCCTGAGCGGAGACCGGCAACACCACACTTGGCAGCTGGGAATCCAAGGCTGAAGGAACTGCGTGCAAAGTATGGGTATGACTTTAAAAAGAAAAAAACACCTATTGGTGGACCACCCCAAAAAGCAACATGACGGTAGGTCGCCCAGCCATTCGGTTTCTTGGCATTCTTGCCTTTCTGCTTGCACATGAGACACGCTGGGTCGGATTGCTGAAAAAGTGGGAAATCTGAGGCCATAGCTTAAAGACGCCTTATTTTTGATGTTCTGATTCTGAACGTGGGTCTAAGGGTTGATTCCAATTCCACTTTCTGTTTTCCCCAGTAAAGGCTGCACGCGACGTATGAAGCTCTGGCGTTAGCCACTACTAGCTTGACGGAAACCTGCAATTTTCTGCACCAAATGGCCATGGCCTCAAAAACCGACAGCGACTGGACGTGGGAGATGTTAGAGCTAGCCTTCAAATGGGAGATTCCAACCATAGAAGACCCCCCATAAGCGCTGTCACCATACAACAGCTACTCGGCACTGTTGGACTCATCACGCAAAAATAAAGTTCTACTCTGGCGTTTCGGCATATCATGGCCGCATCCCTTGCGCTTCTTGGAAGCTTCAGATAAGCTGTACTGGTTGTACACACCAGGACAGCTGCCAGCCGCAGCGCTTCGGGGCAAAAAGCGGTCATTGCCGTGCTGGTCTCTGTGTCTCTGTGTGTGTGTGTGTGTGTGTTTTCTTCTCAAAGCTTGAAGATGGATTTCCGAAAGCTTGCAGCTCCCAAACCAATCAGTGGTTGTGCTGCGGGAGATGAGGCAACATGCCCAAAACCACAATTCACCACCTCAAGCCCCGCCAAAAACCTGCACTGCCGGTCCAAAAACAGCTGAAGAGATTGAGGTGGAAAGCGACAAACGGGTCTCCGATCGGATCGGACTCCGCACCTGGACTTCTTCCGCTTCTCGGTCTCGGGCCTTGCGAAGCATGTGGGAGGCGATTTAAGGAGGGGACTTGCAGCTCTATCGGAGTGCCAAAACAATCCCCTTTCGGACCCCCGCCCAAGGTGCCGCCTTTTCAAGGCAGCCACCAAAACGGGCCCTAGTTTTGACAACCCAAGCGGCTTGGCGGGCCAGCGGAGCAGTCAAACTGTGCGGTTTCCGTGCACCCAAAAGCCCAGCCACACGCCGATTTCCGCCCAGCAGCGCTGGCTCTGCCGGAACTTCCACAGCGGCGCTGGGGGGCTCTGGCGCAACCTCTCCGGCCGACAGATCCGCACAACCTAAAAACAACGCAGCAAGCGTGCTGCATCGAGGTCGCCCGAAGTTCACCGACAAAACGGCCCCAAAACAAACAGAAGAGACCACGTGTATTTGCTTGGGGGGCCGACTGAAATTGGCCAACAAAAGATCATGCAGTGCAGTGCCTCGGAAGGCTCGCTCACCCACTTCAGCTTGATGTACGCTCGCCTCACCGGCCGTTTTTCGGAGCGCCAGGGCGCGAGGGACCCCCAAAATGGTGCTCCTCTTGGCCTTCTGCATCCAACCTCAAGTGAATGCTACCCCTCCAACAAAAAACACCACATCTGGCGTGGAAGATGTGGGCCATGGTCATGGTTCCCATTGCTCTCGCTCGCAATGCAGGTCAAAGCTACTGGTCCTTGATAAGAATCACTAGCGAGCTGCAATGGCTCCCCTTGCGGCTCTGAATCAGGGCCCATTCTTGCAAGGGGCTGTCTTTTTTGGGGGGATCCTTTCAGAGGAGTGTCGCCCCAGACTGGACGATGTTTGCCATGAGGAGATTGGAAGTTTGATCCCAACCGAAAGTGTCCAAGCCACTAAGATGCAGCCCAACCGATAGTTGGCTTCGAGACGCTAAAGGCTTTTTAGCGGCCCCGCCATCCCCACTAACTGGGTGCCATCTACGAAATCGGTCAGGAATCGGTCTTGTAGCGCTCAAACCACTGACTTTGGTTCTACCAACATGTGTCAACCCCGGATTCATCCGGAGGACCGTAACAATCAGGTAAGTTGACCCCTGTGTTCGGCGCCCAGTTCCTCTGAATAGGGCCCCCGATGTTGCTTTCCGAGGTTGACATTAAGGTCTTAGTCAGGCCTCACCATGACCCCAGAAAGTTGAAGAGCGACATGGATGAGGAACAAAAGGTGGCAATTGTGGCCACGGGTTGGGAGGTTGAAGCGTTTGCCCGCTGTGGGCGTCCAAAGCCTCACCATCCGTAGAACCGCCGAAATTTGGACGACGAGTCCAGCCGAGTTAGACCTCAGCCATCCCGGGCGCCCGGCTCGATGAATCGCTTGAAAGCGTCAGGGGAGCTGCCCTGAGCAAATGGCAAGAGGGCACTTAGGATCTTCGGAGGCAGCCAGTGGTTAGCCAACCCCCCAAAAACAAGGTTTACCCCACTCAATGGGGGACTCGAAAACGTGTGTGGTAACCTCCTTTTGACACCCGTTTGGGACAAGGTTGGCATACGTCCAAGAGGAAACCTAAACTTCTGGCTAGTCTTAAAGGACTGCCCTTTGCCAACATGTGTCTCCAAATTCAAGGCACCTTCCTCTTGGCTTCCCTTTAAAACCATGCAAAAGTGGGTTGTCTTTGAGACAACACCGAGCGTGTGTTTTCGGGGGGGGAAAACCTGAGACCCTCCCACAACCAAGAGTCTTACCTGATCGAAGGGTTCTGCGAACCTCTCTGGGTAGGGGGCCCGTGATGTGTCCCCAATGTCTGAAGAGGGGGGGCTGCTTTTCCAACCCCAAACCACCTTCTGCTTTGTTGCCGTTTTGCCTTTCTCCGTGCACTCTAGGATGCAGCTCTCAGCAATGAAGGAATTCAAAGTACGTCTACATACAAGCCGCATACAAGCTGCAACCGAGAGAAGCCTTACATTATGCTCGGTGTACTCGCTTGCCTGGGCGTCTTCTCACCTGAGTCTTTGTACGGGATCTTCATTAGGAACTCTCATTGGAGGGTGCATTGGCGACAACTCAGATCTGCTACGGATTTGTTGAAGAGTCAAACCGCATTGGGAGGCCCAGTGTTCAGGTCATTCCGTGAAGCGTCAGCGATGCAGAATGTTGGATCCTTTCAGGCAGGGGAATGCTCAAGTGGCTTGCACTTCAAGCAAGCATTTGAGGTAGATAAACCGACTTATGTTCAATGATCTCAGGGGGTCTGCCCAAATCAAAGACGGGTGGCTCGTCTTTTTTTGGGGACCCAAATTGGTGGTTTGCCTATTGTTTTCTTTTAAAACCATCAAAAAAGTGGCACCCTCAAAGAAAGACACCCCCGGACAAAGAATTCAAGGGGAGAAAAATCCACGCCGACTTCTGATTGGGACTGTCCCCTACTTTCCTTTATGTACCCAAATATTGATTGTGGCTCACCTAAGTCGTGTTGGCCCTGTCCATCCGCTGGCTGTCTGGCTACCACCGGCCCCATAGAACAAAGGAGCCCCAAAGTTGAAAGGAGCAAAGTCGAAAGGATCCCCAAGGGAACCCCACCACTTGGGTGTGTCTGTCTTTTTGAGGGGACCCTGTGCCATCCACAAAAAAACGCACCCGTCCCGTATGAGCCGAACTCGGCGCCTGCTTCACGCGCTCCTTGTCCGTGAGTCGTCCAAGGAACTGGCGCTGAGCAGCGGCGTTGCCTCCGCCATGACGCTCATCCAGCGACTGGCCGGAGCACACCGAGTCAGCGTCTCATTTTTGGACGCAGTCAACGTGGGCTTGTCTCAAAATGGGGGAACCTTCAAAATGGGTGGTTCTCCTTTCGGTGCCCTTGAAGAAACCCCAACACGGGTCCAAAAAAGGACACCCGCTCAAACAGGTGCTTCGACTTTGGGGGAATTGACCACTGAGTTGAAGTGTGCCTTGAACTCAAAAAGCGGAAACCGGCTAAAAGTGAGACGTGGTCAAAAATCACCCTCAAATGGGGGGGGGCATAAGCGAGACCTCCCCAAAGTAACTTGGACTCAGTGACCGTGAATTCTAGTGGTTGGAACACCCCAAAGAAAATGGTGGGTAGTTGCATGAATCCCCAGGCAAATCCCAATTCAAACACATGCTCAAGTGAGCGGTCCAAATTGGATCCCTTCGCTTCCGAAAGGTGGCTTTCCGGGAAGCTGAAGTTTGGGCCTGAGGCATTTGGCTCTCAAACTGTGGAAAACATGTCCAGTTGGGCGGCTCGTGCTCGAGCCACAGTCAACTTGCGACCCCAACTGACATCGACAGGGGAATTTTGTCCCCGCTCGCCTGAGTATACCATGTAAAGAACCAAAAGGGCGAATATTCGCACCTATATATGTGACTGTCACCAGATTCTGGACATGGCAACGGTCTCAAGTTGGTAGGCTCCGAAGCTCTTACACGTGCTCAGCGGATCACACACGTACAGTTGATGATTCTTCGATTTCCTCATATTGGTGGAGTCTTTGGCAGGCAATGCCCAAACCAAATGTTTTGCAGCCCGTCCCAAGTGCGACTGTCCCTTGCCTAACCTTCATTTATCCAAGCTTTGGATTGACGGCAAAGCTCCCTGAACGCGCCCCGGCCTTCACCTCGTCCATGGTCCAAACGCTCATCTGGACGCTTTTGCAACGGTGGGAGAAGCTCTGGTGGGCTGACTTGCAGTCATGGCAAATGAACCTCAGCGACATCTGGCGGTCAGTGGCACGAGCGCGAGCGGATCCATCCGAATCGGCCCGAACGGAGGCCTCAGGGCGTGGCGTCTTGAACGTCATGCAGACCGCACCAAAGCCCAAGCTCTCCTCCTTCAAACAGTTGGGACATACCTGCGCGATGGAACCAGCTGTCTTGAGTCCCGGTCTTCAGCTTGGTTGACTTTGTGACCCCTAAGAATCAGTTGAGGCGCTTTAAAGGGAACCAGAAATGGGGCGTTACAACACCTTCTCTAAAAAATCGGCAAACCGCTCTGAACATGTGCAAGCTGCCAGCAAGCCATTCGAGCAAATCCCGCGATCCGCTCTGGGCACACCCGATTCTCTGGCAAACGTCGTATTCTTTGCAGCTCCTTTGCTGTGGCCTGGCATGCAATTGCTGGAATCCCAGCATTCAAAATTCATGGGGAAAGACCTACCCGGTCCAGGGTGTGTGCAGATCATGCATTCCTCACCCAAAAAATGCGTTGGTACTAGGAGCACAGGCAAACCCAGCAGAAAAAGCACGTTGTTGCCCCTGAAGCATCTGCCTTGTCAGTTTCAGACGGCGCCATGCCTAAGTCGGGTGAGCCGAACCTTGATGGCTGACTGGAATTGGGGGCAGGCCCCTTCAAGTCGCCAACCACAAAAGAAAAAACAAACGAGTCGACTCCCCGAATCCACAAATCCACAGGAATCGAGCTGGAACCCCGTGACATCCACTGAGGGCCAGGCGCAAAGATGACCCCCAAAGCCAGGGCGCGAAGCCAGCCCAATGGCCGAAATCGCGCTATAGCTCACGACTAAGCTCGGCTGTCCGGCTGAGCTTTGGGAACGACTATTCTGGGGAGTGCTCAGGCGCTCTGCTACGGTGTTGCTATGCTCGCAAACAACTCGCAATGACTTTCCATTGTGGCACATGCTGCACACTGGCGACCACAGCCAAATTCAGCGAGTACACGCAACGTGCCTCATGGACCAAACTGCGTTGCGGTTTGCTTGCCATGCATCTGCCAGTTCCACTCAATTTCTCGCCTCAAGGGGCACGACTCACCATGCCCTGCCAAGGCTGCATGCCCACGCTAAGCATCTGAGAGACAACTGCCGGATCTCCCGCTCGGCACCAGACGCCGGGCAGAATTCGCATGCACTGAATTGCTCGGCATGCCACACTGTGAATTTCAGTGGCTACGGCCAAAGGCCTGGCAGTATGTACATCCCCGGAGGATCCAGGCAAACCCCTAAAGTAATAACCAGGCAGAAAGTCATCCATGGCAAAATCCAGAAGCAACAATCCGAATCCAAATTCCTGCAAAATGTCAAGAGACCCCACCAGGCTGTTATACCTGGGGGGGTGATCAATAAGTGGATCAATAGTATGGCTAGCTTTTCCCATTCAGTTCCAAATCTCACATCTTTTTGGTGCCCTTCCCATGCCGACGGCCATCCCGTCTTCATTTCATCAAAATCAACCACCTCACCTGGTGTCCCGAAAAGAAGGGCGACCCGACTTCGACCCAACGCCCAAAAAATTCCCCGCCCGCCCGCTCCGCCGGGAGCCGAACTGGGCTCACATCACCCAGGGCCGCCGGCAGAGTCGGCAGTCCCTTCGCGCTCCGAAGGCCTTCGCCTCGGCGCGCACGAGCATTTCTAGTCCAGTTGCAACTGCCAGTGAAACACAGAACCTGCACAAAACGATTCCGAGCTGGGTGGTTCAAGGCCATGATCCCAACTCCGAAATCCGTAGTGGGACACCGCTACTTACAAGGAAAACCACCATCTCGCAAGAGGGATCTTGCAGATTGATTTTGAACAACCTCCATCCATGTCAACATACGGGGGCGGCCCAACAATGGGTGGTCTCCGTTTGGCAGAAACCTTCAAACCGCCCGAAACAAAAAGAAGCACTCCACAAAAGAATAACACACCACCCGACGTTTAAGGCGGCTTCTTTCGGCTCCGAAGGCTTCGGATCTGAGTCTCCCACCACCTTGAGGCACGTCTGATGCGCCAGGACTCGTCCGCAGGGAGCCGCGCAAGTCCTCGGGCCGGCAGGGCGGGCCGGTGGCGAGGAGTGGAAGGAACCTATGGATCCCTCAGCCATGAGTTGGAGGTGGTGACCTGGTCAGGGCTTTGCGCTGCTTGGGCGGTGGAAGGAACCCCGACGGGTTGGAGGGTTGGCACTTCGAACATCTGGCCGGGGCAAGTTGGAATGATCCAAAGTGAGAGATCCAACTGGCGACCTTTGAAGGCAACCAAGGGAATGAGCCATGGCTTGGACTTGCCAGCGGATGGATTCAGGGGAGGTCCAAGGAATGACTCCAAACGCTGTCCGACTTCTGGTTTCCTGGGGATCCATCCCCTTCCGGTTGTTCATTCCCAAGACTCTGGTTCTTCCCTATCGAACCAAGTCATGGTGCAAGTGGCATGGGCACCAGCTTTGCAGACCTGCCAGTTCGCTTGAAGTTGTATCTTCGTTTTTTTAACCCAACAAGCTGTCAAATAAGTGGGTCTTTTTGGGTAGGACCCCACGCCTATAACCCTTTGGCTTTTACTTCTGATTCAGTTGGAAACCCTGCGTGAGGCACAGGGCGAACCCAAACCGACCTTCTGCCTGATTGAAGGGAAACTACTGGGGAGGTTGTTCACTTGGAGCTTCCCTGTTGCAGAAAACACATGTGCCCAAGAGGGGATTTATCCGGGTTTGTGGTTTGTTGCATACCTGCTCGGAATGGTCAAAGTAGTGGTGATTTGTGGGTTCCCGCTTGTTTCCCCGTTGCAAAACCGAGCCGGGTATCCTCAAGCGAGAAATGAATATTGCCGGATGCCAAAGTAGGACTCGTCCAATCTAATTAACAACGCTGGTAGCTACCAACTTAGACCTGCACCCATGATGTCACAAATAAGCTGGGATTCTCCCAAACCATATGATTTCCCACATCTGCGCTCCATGCGTGCAGCCAAAATTTGGTTGGCTTCCCTGTACCAAAAAGGGGCCACCCTCCAACAAAAACAGGGATCCTTACATTATACACCTAAACATTGCCTTGTAAATGGTGGTTTCCCATTATTTTGGTGGAAAATGCCATGTTTCAAATGGGCAAAATGTATCTTTTAAGGAGCCCTGAAAAAGCACAGCCCTATTGTTGCAACAAGAGAAAGGCTACACCCGTTTGCCGCTGGAGCTCTGTGCCAACGCCGCGGGCGGCACCAAGCTCCGACCGCACACCGCGCAGGAGGGCGCGTAGACGCCCTGGCGGTTGATTTTGGCAGCGGAAAGCCGGGCTTCAAACAATGGCAAGGACACAATTTTGATGATGGGGTTCCAGTGGCGACGGATGCAAAATGTGTTGAACCACCTACGACTTGTTTCAGTTGGAGCTCACCTAACAATTTGGGTAAAACTCCTTCGTTCATGGCGCCATTGACCCAACCAGTGTGTTGTGATGTGACATCTCAACCACCAGGTGATGATTTCTGGAGCTGAGGATCCCAGGAGAAAACAAAGAAAAGGGCCCTCGGCGCGGCTGGGATGTCGGTTTCCATCTCAGGTGTCCGTTTGTTGATGTGCGTGGTTCGCCTGCAACAAGAGCGGAGCGGTTGCATGGAAGGGGAAATCAGAAGGTTGTGCAAACAGAGGTTTGAACATGAAACAAGAGGTGGATTCACCCCCGCCTTGCCACAGGGGCAGTCGATCAGGCGAGCAGTTCCCACCTGAAATGCTTGGGAAACGAATTGCAGCAGAGCGCCTGCCTGTGATAAATCGCATTCGGGAATCGGGTGATTCCCGATGACTTTGTCCTACTTGCCTTGAAAATCTTACTGAAAAAACACCCTGAAACCACGAAGCCCTCAAAGAGCTGACGTCCAAATGAATTGATTCAGCTAAGGGAATTCCGCCAGACTCAACACCGGACATGAAACAACCCTTCACCAACTTCCTTGTGGGTGTCTCTCTTTAGAAGGGTCTTGGGGTCGGTTAAAATAGAAATGAAAAGGAAAGAACACGACCATCTGTTTACTCTTTTATATACATATATATATATATATATTATTTTTTGGGGGGTGCAGGACTCCGCATGTCAACCGCCGTCAACCGCCGTCAACCGCTTCGCTTGTCGAGGAGCTTCAAAGGAGGCGATGTTCTGAGCCTTCAAGTACGCCTGCGTGCAGTCCAGGTGACAAATCCTCGGCAGGATTTGTAGCCACGGGAGCCAACCAGAAAGCCCAGGCTGGAAGCTGAAAGCTCCCAAGCTGAAAAGCAAACACGGATCGGGTAGAGGGGATGTCCCAACATAGGAGGGAAAATGGATGTGTTTTGGGAAAAACACACACCCGTACATTGATCAACCAGGTTGACTCAGCCAGGTTCAACATCACGACGATTCACGACTCAACTGACTCTGAAATCAGTCCTTCCGCACTGGACTGTACAGGGTGCTTCAAAGTGAGGCGGCAACGGCACCTTCTCGTTGCACACCTCTGGCAGCCGTCCCGTCCAAAGCACATCCCACGAGACCCACAGCGTGCCTCGCACTCGGGGACACGAGTCATGGCCATCTTTGCATGCAGAATGGCTCGCGAGGCCACGTGTGCTTGCGCGCTTACGTGCGCTCGGTGCAAAGATCGTGACATTGTGCTTCGCGGTTTTCTTTGCGGGATGCACATTGCATTCAAAACCTGATGCCTTTTGCATGTTTTGAGCCTGGCGCGCCACAAGGCATTCCGCAACTCCAGGGTGCACGTCCCAAAAACGCCCAAAACACCCAAAGGATCCATGTCCCTTTTCCTCTCGAAACGTCGGCGCGCATCCGCGCGGCCTGAGCTAAGGCCTAGTTCCAGGCAGGCCTGGGCACCTGGCAGGGGGGGGAAATGCGTGGGCATACCACGCAGACGTGGGTCCCAAATTTGGTGGGTTCACCTTTGCTGAAACCCTTTAAACTCGAAAGAACTTCTCGGACAACAAGACCAACCACCCAAGCTCCGAGCCAAGACAAGAGCAGACAAAACGAAGCCGACCCCACCAAACCGAGGAAAAACAATAAACACACGGCAACCCTCCTCCCCCCACCCCTCCACCACTTCCCAAATCCCCAGATCCGGCACCGGCACCTTGGGCCGGAAGACCCCGCACACAATGGACACCGCGTAGGCCAGCCCAAAGCCGATGTCCACCACCCCATGCTGGAAGATGCAGCTGGGGTCGTAGAGCTTCAAATCCGAGCCGCCGGTGATGGGGCCCATGATGCCCATGGCCACCTCAAGCCGACAATGGGGGGGGAGACTTTTGGGGACCTCGGGGGGGGAGCTCATGCCATGTGAGTCCATTTGTATATCCTTGCTTTTTGTGTATCGCCTTACAAATCTATTTATGCATTGATCTTTCTATTTCACCCATTTATGTATTTATGATTATTTGTGTTTTTTTTTTTTTATTATTATCCTTATTTTGATTACTTTTATTATTGTTTACTTTTTGTTAGGGTGGTCTTTTTTTAGTATCTCTTTCTGTTTTGAAAGAGGCGGGGGGAAGTGAGGAGGGCTGTGCATTTTTCTGCTTCAGGCTTTTTGGTGGGGTGGCCTCGACATTTTTGGTGTCGCTTGAAAAGTCCCCTTGGTTTAATCATCTGGTCTGGTTTGTCTAGAGCCCCTCGTGGGGGGTTCCAAAAAGGTTTCTGGTTGGTCTGTAGGCCGAAAGCTTTGGGTCTCGGACAGTCTCCGGCACACGAAGGAGGTGCTTCCGAGCCAATTTGTCCCCTCGAAAACCTCCGGGGGTTTCGCCACCTTGCTGCGCCTTTCCTTCACTTCTTACTCATTTAAAAAGTGCAACCAAAAGGGCGACCTGAAGACCACCCAAAAAGATTGTCGTTCTCCTGTTGGTGTCCCTTTAAACCAACCTCAACAAGGGCCTAGCCCTCAAATCGAATCATACTTTCCGAAGAGGACCTGGTAGCTCCCACCTGGTAGCTGATGGTCAGCGTGGCCAAGACCACCGGGCTCTTCGGCACGTCCCTCCACCGCTTCAGGATCCCGTAGAAGAAGGGCGTGGTGATCCAAGCCGTATTGATGTTGGCCTCGAGGCGTATGATTGTCTTGATGTCTTTTGGATCTTTTCTGGGAAAAGCTTCAATGCAAAAGCTGTTGGCAAAATCGAGCATGAGCCTCTAGACATTTCGACCAACAAACCGAATGGATGTTGGATCTTGGGTGCTGGGTCGACCAATTGCTTTGTAAGCCCTCCCCGTTGTGCGGACCAAACTCCCCAAGAACGGCACAAGCCGCGGGAAAGGGAGCCCCTCATCGCGTTCCCGTCGAAAGCCGAACGCAGGCCTCCGTTCAAAAAAAAGAAAAGTGACCCTGAAAATCTACCCTCTAGGTGTAGTAAAGTGAATCCCCCGTCGCAGAAATTTGGATCAGAATGCAAAATGGCTCAGAATGGGCAATTGATTGCCAAGCGGCGTAGTTCAGCCGCATCTTAGCGGGCCCCACCATGTTGGTGAGCCCCGCCACGATGGGGATCTGCGTCGCCACGTACCTTGCCCAACCCACCGAATGGAGAAGGGACCCTGACCCCCTGCAAAAAGCCGACACTTGCTGCAGATTCGAAGGGAAACTCACGGAAAACCAAAACCAAAAAACCAGCAAAACCCAAATCGAAAGGGGGAAGTTAAATCGGATGCGAAAACGAACAAAAGACTACAGCTTCCCCAAACTTCCTTTAAGAAGTCAGCCTTGTTCGTTTCGGCCATGGTACAAGGCCAGGTAGGCCCAGGGCAGCTTCTTCTCCTTGGGCACGTAGCACAGCAGCGAGAGGAACCCGGGCAGCGCGATGCCGGCGCTGAAGGCGTAGGCGAAGGCGAAGTTGGCGAAGGCGTGGTGGTGGCCTCCGACTCGAATCGAACGGCGAAGAGAAGCCTCTTGCAGATGTGATGCGTTCGCTTTCTTCGCTTCGACTCTGCGAAAGGTGGCTCTCCTCTGTCTGAATATGTTGGTGTTTCTCCGTAAAATGATCAATCTCTTCCACCTTATCTTGGTAAAAAGTGGTAAAGGGATTCAACACGTGTACATGTGAACTCAGCGGAAAAATAGATCAGATCTCTTATCCACGCATTCCACCTTATCTTGGTGGCGTCCCATCCTCTGGCAAATTGCATAACGGCTGCTAGAAGCAGAACCTCCGTTCTCTGAACCATGCTGTCCTTCTCACAGGCGGTTTTCCGCTGAATAAGTGCGTCGACCTGCGTTTCCCCTCTAATTTGCCAGTAAACAAATAGCAAATTGGCACTCGGCTTTTTTGTAGCCAAAGGATTTATGACGTGGCAAAATAGAGAGTTGAAGCCCTCAAAATTGGGTGGTTTCCCTCTACTTCCCCCTTTTCAACAAACCCAAATGGTACACTCGAAAAGAGCCCGAGGACAGTTTTGGACCATCACGCGTTGAGAGCAAGTGCTGGGTTCTGACCCAAGGCAGTATGAAAAACGGAATTGGCATGCCTTTGTGGCTGGTAACGGGAAAACCCTCCCCTGGTGTTGATCTAGGAAAACCCACTGGGCAACTGGCTGAACCAGTGGAGCAGGATGTGCGCAATAGCTTCAGGAACGAAGAGCCATGCGAAGAGCCTGTCTATGGGGTCACTGCGATACTTCTCCCGCCACATCACGGCTGCAAAGACCATCACCGCCTGGAGGATTGAGGTCGTGCGCAGGGCCGGATGGGCCAAGTGGGGGCCATACTCCACATCGAAGTCGCTCAGTGAGCGATCGTAGAAGAAATTCTTGATGCAGAACAGGAAGGGCAAGAGTGTGACAATGACGCAAATCTTCACCATCTTAAAGGCAAACTTGTTGTTCGACTTCAGGCTTTCCTGATCCAAGGCCGAAACCCGAGCTGGCTGCGCCGCAAGCCGCGGCGCTTTGGCCCCTGCAAAGGTCAACAGGGCAGCACCCACCGAGGCCAAGGTCCGGACGCCGCCCGTGCTCAGCTCGGGCGCAGCCTGAGCACCCGGGCGGCTCCGGTCCCGGAGCGCATGGCTTTGGAGAGCCGGGCTCAGGAAGGCCAGACTCATCCCGCGAAACGCGATTCAAAAAGGCTGGGAACTCGAGCCAAACGCCAAACACCACTGCAGAAAAGCAACACGTGTTGCGCAGCCGTGAGGCAGTGAGCGTGAAGCTGAGTACTGCCATGTCTCCGCGCACAATCCGGTGCCAGAAAGCTGGACTGGGCGTTCTGCCTGTCTCGCCGCATTTACAAAAAACATTGCGAGATAGCACGGCTTCTAAAGCCTTCTAAAACAACGTCTGCACACAGCTCAGTCAAGCTTCTTTAACAGCCATTTGACAACTGGCCCCTCTGACGGCGAGGAATCGGCTTCCAGAACCAATTTGTCGTCCTTGCAAGGCTAAAAGCTTCACTTGTCGTGGCGCAACGTTGAATGCCAACAAAAGCCCTGCCTCGATGAAGAATCTGTGAACATCAATCACCTCGGATCAGATCTGAACCAGTTGCTGCAAAACCTGACATCTGCTCCTTAATTTCAACTTTCAACACCATTTCATGGCAATAGCAACACTCCAGGAACAACATGTGCCTTGGTGATCCCAGTAGTTTACGTCGCCATTTGGGCCGGAAAGCTTCGCCGGTGCCCTTTGCAGCGTCCTCCTCATTCACCATCTGCTCAGCTTCTTCATCTGACCCACCTGCCGATCTCTGGATCTGGGAGCCCTCTCCGATGGCTGCTTCTGAAACCTTTCGACTCCCAAATACTCGAAAAAACAGATAGTGGGCTGGCAACCCTGAAATTCCCACAGTCTCTCTTCCCGACACAGATACGGGTATGTGCCAACATACCAACAAATAGGCAGGGCCCAAAAAAGGGGCTTGTCTCTCAAAAAGTAAGGCAGGCCAACATGTTTGTTCTGTCAACTCCAGCCAGTTGCAGAAGATCCTCCTGGGCTTCCCAGCTAGCCTCTGGGCTCTGCCCTGTTTCCCGATGTGTGCCTGTGATCAGGGTCTTGGCCCAGCCCTTGGTCTGCTTGGCCGGGTTCATGTTGGTGACCCGCAGAACGGACTCGGACTCCCAGACCGGCTCCACCATGATCTTGGCGCCGCCCATGCGGGTGATCTCCTAGCTGAGAAAAAACACCCCGTCCCGGCCCGGGCTGTCCGCGGGTCCAACCTTTCAAACGTCAGCTCATTTTTCGGTCGCCCCTCAATCACACCCTTTCAAGGACCCCCAAACACCACAGAGTAGACCAAAACTGGCGGTGGTACTATTGATGACTGCTCACAACCACCATGTTTCACCTAAGCTTCATCCAAACTGGGCCCTATGGCCGTTCTTTTGATGGGAACGAGTTGAACCCCGGGGAGGAGGCAGCTTGATTCCATCGACAGCCCGCTTCGGTCGCCTGCACACCGCTCCCCACCGTGTAGGTCTCGGTGAAGCCCAGACCCCCAAGCCCTGGCCCCTCGAAGGAGTACTGCATGGTGATCTGGTCGCCCTCCTGCGACGTCCAAAAATACCAGCACAAACCCAAGCTGCCCACACTACAGATGACACCATTCGCAAGCCATTCAGGGCTGTCAAGGGCCGCACAACGGGGCCCCCCAGTCCCAACAGGGGCCAGTCGCCCTGGAAGACTTCACTGCTGGGACCCTTGACCATAGGAAGAGTTGTTGGGAAAAACAAAAAAAAACAAAAAAAAACGCTGCTTGAGTCGCGTCGCCTGCGCGAACTCCCGGATGTTGGTGTTCTTGCCGGCCCCCCAGTCCATCAGCTGCAGCCCCTTCCGCGCCAGCCAGGGCAAGCCCGTGGCCTCGTTTCGGGCAAGACAACGCACCGCGCGTTCCTCGGATGTGGCTTGCTCCACTTCCCGTGGGGTTCCCACTACTCGGATGTGTTGCTTTGACTTGTTCTGGTGTTGCCTTTTGTGAGTTTACCCTCATTGGGCGCTTGGCCTTGGTTGTGCTGTTTGTTTTTCCCCCTTCGAAGTAAAGGGTTGGCTGCTAAAGTAACGGCACCAAAAAGAGGTGCCC